CCACATGCCCTCAGCATTGGGAGGGTGCTTTTCCAGGGTCTCCCCTGGAAAAACGCACCTTGTCCCCGTGCCATTGGGGACAAGGGCCTCTTCCCCACAAGCCCTGGGGTGTTGGTTGTGGGGATGCAGGCAGGGGTCTTATTCACAACAGGGTACCCCTTTCATAAATTGGCACCCAGATGCAGCCCCCCCCCTTGTGAATGAGTAAGGGGTTCTTGTACCCCTACCCATTGACAAAAGGGTTAAATAAAAGTTTTAAAAAAGAGGCCAGACTTTTGTAAAAAAAAAAATACAAGTTTTTGACAAGTCTTTTATTAAAAAAGAAAACCCCCAAATGGATCCAACATCGTAATACAGGGTTAATCATGACATCTAGCGTTGTCCTTGACGTAAACGACTCGACAAAATAAAAAATAAAACAAAAAAAAAAAATAATAATAATAATTTTTTTTAAATGACGCCCCCCGACCCGTCCGCTCGCAACAAACTCCCGCCGCAGAATGGCATTCTGACAGATGCCAGCAAAATATAAACAATTGGGCGGAGCTAGAGGTTGACAGCTAGCTTCACCCAACTGTTTACAGTTGTACGGCATCTGACAAGTGAGTCATGATTGGGCAAAGTCATCATGACTTTGCCCAATCATGACTCTTACACAGTACTGTGCTCTAATTGGGCAAAGTCTTGCACCTGACCTGTGGTCAGGTGCTAACCTTTAGCCAATCAGGGCTCACAAGGCACTGTGCGCTGCACAGTGCCTTGTTGGGCACTCCAACAGCCCGCCGAACGCCCTGACAGTTCGTGTGTTCACCAAACACACTAACTGCCGATGTTCGAGTCAAACTCTTGCTCGACTCAAACATCGAGCCCATTTCCTCTGCATTTCACAGTGCAAAAGTGCCTAAAAAACATCCCAAATTTTAATTGGATTTTGCCCTTTCACATATGAATGTCTTGGTATTTTTTTTATTTTTGTGTGAATTGGCACTGCATAATCTGATTTACTGCATGTTAATTCATATTGGGAGTTGCCCATGTTAGCAATAGGCATTTATAAGCCAACCATGAGCCAACCTAAGGGAATTTTCAATATCTCCCCTAAAGAGCAGAAAAAGCTATGCAAAGGCAGCACTGTTCTTTTGGCCATAAAAAATACATTTAATTTGGCTTATAGTTGCACATATAAATAAGTGAATGCTTAGGAATCTTTGCCTGTTTGTTAAGGCAAGCCTGTCAAGGATTACAAGGCTAATCAATAACATAGCTTTTTCACAGAGGCACACATTCCCTTACTTGCAGACAAATTCACAGTCATCAGAAAGGTTTCATTTGTAGAGTACATGAGTGCACACCATTTTACAAATAAAAATGGATCTGATTAGTGATCAGTTAGCACCCAGAACTAAAATTAAGAATGAGGGAGAAATATATGAAATACAGGACAGCCACAAAATGACCCCGTGAACAGATGATGTTCATGCATAAATACTCTCCTCTTTCCAATGAAAATTATATAAGTTAGAAGGCTTGAGAGAATACAAGCACATATACAGTATATTCTCGAAAATTAATTTTAAAAAAAAGGGGGAAAGGGTGGTCCATGGCTGCAAAACTCATTTAACCCTTTCACTGTCACCATTATATGGGATACAGCGGAACAGAACTGCTTGCAGCTGGCTAGCTTAATATTCTTTACATCAGCTGCATTCCCCAATCTGTTCATTTTAGGGACCATTAACTAGTTATATAGAACTGTTCATCTGATTGTGCCAAGTAAATGAATAACTACGATCAGTGGCTGATCAATGCCAGCAAACACCTCCATTCCCTTGTGTCCCCTTTACACCCCGCTGTGCTTTGTGCACTGTGCTGTGTTTCCATTCCTCCCCTTGCTTTCACCCCACCGGTAGCAGAGGAAACAGGAAGAAGGAGCCAGCACCCAATGTGGCTGATTGAATGCTTCAGGTTGGAAAGCGGATGATTGGTAAATGTGTGTCAAATTCAAGTTCAGTGCTGATCACCCAGGTGCTCATTCATGAAAAAGGGATAGTAAATATGAATGGCCTTCAGTGTTGTGATTGCAGCTGTGGCTACAAAGGAGTAGGAGATTAAGGACCTAGTGTCAGACAACCCAACTCTCCCGGACGCTCCGGGAGTCTCCCGCTATTAGATAGTGGCTCCCGGCCGCCCGGAAGAGAAACCCTTCCTCCCGGAAAGGTTTATCTGCTTGATCGAGCAGATAAACCTTTCCCTGCAATCGTTTTTTTTTTTTCTTTTCTGACATCGGGAGCCGCGGCCCGACCGTCAGTCAGACAAGAAAAAAAAAGGCATACGAATGCATAGCTAGATTCCTATTGGCCTTTGCACTTTGCAATAGCCATTAGCAAACTAGCTAATGCACCCGCCCACTGCTGCTGTCAATCAGCAGAGGGGGACCTGAATTTTTCTATCAGGTCCTCTTCTGGGGATTGCAAGCAGCAGAGGGCGGGTGCATTAGCTAGTTTGCTATTGGCTATTGCAAAGTGCAATAGCCAATAGGAATCTAGCTATGCATTCTTATGCCTTTTTTTATATTATTCTGACGACTGCAACTGTCAGAATACTAAAAAAAAATCTGAAAAAAAAACCTGCAGATAGCAAAGAAGCTATTGCTTACTGTGCTATCTGCCATCATTTCATGGGGGTGCTCTCTCCCAGCCCCCCCTAACCCCCCCCTCCGCGGATGGGGGGAGGGCAACTCCCTGAAATGAGAGGGACACCTCCCTGAAATTGCTTCTTTCAGGTTGGGATCCCTGTTGTGTCCTCAATTTCTTTCTCTATTTCAAAAGTGAAATATTAGGGGTCCGTTCATAGCCCTGATATTTCACTAATGCCCCAATAGTAAAATAAATAAACAAATAATAAAATATCTAAAAGATAATAAAAAATGTTAAAAACAATAAAAGAGTGAAATAATTCTCCAATCACATCTGTGGTATGCAGGAATGGGCACGACATTGTGCAAGTTTCAGCAGAGCACGAAAATGTGCATTGTTCCTGTTTGTGCACAGAAAAACCATTCATAGTTTTGGCATCCCAATACACCTAGCTAACACACGTGCATTGCAGCACAGCACAACAAATGATAACTAAAATGTGTGGCATTTCAGATGAAGGTACATGCACTTATTCAGTGTGATTTCTGTGTGTTGGGCACCTCATTCAAATTACTGGACTGCCCTAACACAATGCATGTTAATGCATATAAAAACACACATCATTGTGTTTGCATTCATGTGAACCTAGACTTAAACACCCCTCCAAACACACATTACACACACATAATGTACACATATGCACTACATATATTGGAGTAATGCACATTTTGTGTGTTGCTGCATTGCAGTGTGCACAAACCTGCACAACAGAGCATTGTTACAATGCAAAACAGTGCTTGATTTTTTTTTCTTTGTAAAATATTTTTTAAAATGTCATTGGCTAGAAGGTATGCACAGAAGCACGCTGTCTTTGCACACTAACACAGCATATACACAGCACTGCCTTCCAACATCAGCCTTTTTGATATATTTGTAGTAAACTACTTACACCCATCTGAAGACTTTCTCAGTTTTGTTTCTGTAACAACGTTTTATTACAATGTTCTCCAATTAAAAATATATGCTTCAAGACCTAACTTTAAGTTCACCTGAAATTATATTTTTCTCTTAGTTCCCCTGCAAAATGCCACAAATATCTGTGTAGCCAGGCAGTGAAGTTCACCTAATGCAGATTCCTGTGATGGGATGGAAATTATGCTGCAATGCTCCTATTCAGTGCAGAGTTGCCACGTTGCCTCTTTCACTGCTTGCATCTGGCCACACCCAAGCCCTCACTTTCTGGCTTGAAAAAGAAGACTTGGTTCTTCGAACCGCGTGGCCGCAACAATGTTCACCCGCCTCCATTTGCTCCCTCACCCTGACTCAGTGCTCGTCGCCTCAGGCGTCCTGCTTGCACCCTCGAGCGCTGGAGTTACACCACTCCCACCGGCCTTCCCGGCTTTGCCGCCTCCACCGTTCATATCCTGGCAACTGCCTATTACACCTTTCTCCTCTCTCTGTGCCCGCCCGCCCCCCTCCACCCGTTCTCTCCCCCTGACACACCGCTCGTTATCTCGGGCTGACTGCTCGTGCCCTTGAGCGTTGGAGTCTTATCACTCCCACCAGCGAATCTTCACCGGACACCTCGGGCTCCATCCAAGTTTCTCCCCCCACTCACACCCGATCTGTGTCTGGCGCCCATGCCCACACTGACTGTACACTTCCAGCCACCAAACCCTTCACCCACAAGCAGCCATACACTAAATACCATCCTGACCATACCCCTCCCAGTCCTGACAGTATCCACCAGCCTATATCCATCCATGCCTGCCACTATCAGCACTCCCATCCCATGCATTAATTGGACCCAGGCTCCCATTACCATCTAGCACCCCCACAGCCCGACGACAGTAACAAACCCAAATTTCCCCCAGACCGGTCCACACACACAATTGATTGCTCACCATCCCCACCAGTGGAGGTTTCTCATCTATCCACCCCTCATCAATGATATCGCATCAGCATTTACTTCTTTTCATCTTCCAATCAAGTCACTTATGGTAGTAGCGCTTCTGTCCACATTTTTTGTTCCCTTTGACAAACGTCGGACACCCCGGTCATTCCAAGAAGCTGCACACCTGGCATCAAAATCTACACACACACACCCTCACCCTCGTGTTAGCGCTGCATTAGAAGACTACAATTCTGTAGCTGTAGCTCGCGGTATACTGAGCTTTGAGTCAGGGGAGAACGCTAGTTTGTGTCCTCCTGGGGAAAAGCCCTGACCCCATAGTTCTCTTTTAAAGGTTAATGTCTTTGACTAGCAAGACGGGGACTGTTGGGCAGTCAAATGACTTATACAATACAATTTTAAAAACAATACCAAGGTTGCTTGCGATATAACTTGCAAAATGAGTGTCTTACCTCAGAATTAAGAAGGCAGTGGAACAGAAATATGAAAAATCCCTAAAGGAAGAGAACAGCAGTCATTAGTAGGTTTATTTATGATACTGGTAACTACATAACTGCATTACCTTATTTTAGCTCTTAAAATAATTCTATTATCTAAATTTTAGGAGGGAGAATAGTTTCCTCTGCACAAACTCTTTCTCAATGGAATACTATATGTCTAATGCTGTTATACTTAAATCCCAAGCATTAATTACAGTTAGCATAGATATTTTGTTTTGCAATACTATTCTTGTTGATCTATTATAGAGACTTTGAAAAAGTGTGAACTTATCCCCTAAACCCTAAAGTATTTAAATAATAACACCTGATTAAGCTAATACCTTCTATTGCTTTATATGTTTGTGTTAATATTTTGCATACCTGTAAAGAATTGAAAACAGCGAACATGTATTGGAATACTATAGACTGTTCATTTACAGCAAGAACTCCAAAGATCCAGGAGCTTCCAAGAATCGGGAGAAGCACAGCAACTGCTTTGGCTGTCAATCTAGAGTGCACAAAAAAAATTAAAACAAGTGTTTACCATAGTTAATTAAAATGTAAATGTTAAATTAAATTCATTGCATTTCTAACCTCACAACCTTTGCTAACGATAAGTATGGATTCTGGTTTTGGGCTAGAGTGACATCAGATTGTCAGTAAAAGGTCCATTATGTGAAAAACTAGACATAGTCTAAAGCACTTCATCAAAATGTGATTGTTGCAAAATAAAACTGTAAAGCACATCTTGACATTACCAAGAAGTTGACACTGGTACCAAATCAAAACTGTTGTGCTGTTTAAAACACGCCACTGGCTGTGTCTTCTTCAATGACTGTGTTCATTCACTGTTGACATTTATGACTAGACACCATCGATGTGGGACCGACAGTACATCACCTTGGAGTTAGCGTTTCATGGAACAGAATCAGTTCTGAAATATTAAACTTTTTCGAGTGCTCAAGTTTGCCAACTAAACACTGACATAACTACTTTACAAACTGCATGATGAATGCTAAGAAAACAATTGAACGGGTTTAATTTGAGTCATTTTAAAAGGGGAATTCCGGCTTGCAGAATGTTGGTTTCGGACAAAACAAAATGGTCTATTACCTATGAAAGAAAAATAAAATCAATTTAATGCATTAGCTTGACTTCATAAGTCGATTTGTTGACCTAAACGTACTGCGCTTCTGACTTGTGCCACATTGGCTTATGACATCGCCATCCTTTTCTTCCCCATATGAGCTCATTCTGTGATCTCCCAGCAGAAAGCCCACAGAAAAAATATTAAAGTGATATTAAAGTTAAAATGTTTTTAAGCTTTTTCAAATGCTGATTAAATAATTTACAATTGTTTTCTGCTCCTTGGTGTTTAGAATGTTCAGTCTCCTTCAGATTCAGCTGGTCGCCTGAGCACTGGTCCCAATGTCCTGTTTTAGATTGGCTCCTTGCTCTTGCATGGTCCGGAGCCATCCATGTAAGCAGTGTGTGTCTACAGAAACACACAGGCACAGCAAGGTAAGCTACTCTGCTCCCCCGTTCCCTCTCCTTCTTCCCTCTTCTTTCTTCTCCCTTCTCCAAGCTAGTAAATGGACAGACTGCTCTGTCCCTTGTGATCTTGTACCAGGCAGGGGAAGCTCTCTGAAGCTCAGGGAAGCTGAGCTGAGAGAGTTGGAGTCAGTTATTCAGAAACATGATAACTGTAAGCGTTCGGGTAAAAATGTAAATAAAGTCTTTGCTAGACAATGTACAGTATTTTTGTTTGATCTGGATTATCGAGAAAAAAGATTGAGAGTTTAGAAGACTTTATTAAAGGAGAAACATTCAGCAAGAGACATTTTGAAAGAGTTGCCAGAGAAGCATTTCTGAAAAAAAAATTTTGAGCAATTTTAGAACCAGTGCTCTGTTCTAAAATAAGTAGCTTTCACAGCAATATTGGCCCTATCTCCAGCACTAACTCTATCTCAGATTCACCACTCCGCAAAACAGTGCTAGTCCTCTTCTGGTGTGAATGTCACCCAGCATCATATAACCCACTTCCTTTAAGCTCAGGACATCAAGAACAAACCCATTCAGGGCATGCCATCAAGGTGCCATGGAAACACAGGAGAATACTGAAGAGATCAGCACAATATCATTACATGACAATTTTGCTGCAGCATTCTGGACCTGTCCACCACTGAAGGAAGAAAAACATTCAGCCAGAAGACTGCTAGGAAAAAGGTATGGGAGTAGCACAGTGCTTAGTGGTTAGCATCTCTTCCTTGTAGCAATGCGGTCCTTGGTTCAAACCCTATCCAGGACACCATCTACATGGGGTTTGGACGTTCTCCCTGTGCTTGTCTGGGTTTCCTCCAGGCACTCCAGTTTTCCCCTCCCGCCCCAAAGACATACTGGTAAGTTAACTGGCTATTGTCTAAATTGGCCCTAGTATGTGTGCATGGGTCTAAAAATTCCAGTTGCTCTCTCCTATGGCAGACCCCGGTAACACAAGTTTAAGTGATCAATGCAGCTCTGGTAAGCATTTCAGTCATACATTGGAGCAGGTACTTGAGGTAAAAAAACAGGGAAGTGGATGCTGAGCCTCCAGGTGGCTTTTAAAGATTGCTATTCTCTATATAATTTTCCTAGCTTATTCAATGCATCACAAGCCATGAGAAACATAACTGGGCAACAGTGAGCAGACAATGAGAATAATAGATCTGAGCTGATTTCCCTTTATTATTAAAATTCAAATAATAAAGCAACATTTTCTGAGAAAAAAAGAATATAGTCAGGGTATGGTCAAATGGGCCAAATAGAACCATAAAACACTCTGTCATACTGTGAGTGTTCCATCATAAAGTTATCATGTGAGATCTAAATGCAATTTGGAACAATGTCTCTATATTTGTAGGCAGTATCTAAGTAACAACAATCAGCAACTGTGAACTTACAGCATTGTCCAATACGTTTAAGGCTGAATCTCTTAGCAGATACAAAAGACACATATTAATACAGCTATGTAATCATTATTACCAGTATTTATAGAGCACAGACAATTTACACGGTGCACATTCACATCAGTCCCTGCCCTCAAGGAGCTTACAATCCAAGGTCCCTATCTCACATGCATACAGGGCCAATTAATCTACCAGCATGTCTTTTGAGTGTGGGAGGAAAGTGGAGTGTTCGGAGGAAACCTGGCCGGGATTCAATCCAGTGACCCCCAGTGCTGCAAGGCAGAAGCACTAACCACTATAACACATTAAATACAGACAATCCTAACTTAGTGACTGAGTTCCGTTCCTAGGACCAGGTTGTTAAGCAAATTGGTCAGTAAGTGAGGAATAGAGGAAATCAGCTCTAATATACAGTACATGACTTAGGTTTGCATACCGCAAATACCAATGTGCAGTACAGTAGTGAATATTGACTGACTGACCAACTGCGGTAAGGAGACATAGACTGAGAAAGGGTGATGTGAGATGAGATTGACCCAAATTATCATACAGTGTACAGTACCAACTGGTCGGAGAGCTGGTTGTAAGTCCGAGCGGTGGTACGGGTAGGCTGTTAAGTGAGGTAGCTCTATATATATATATATATGGAAGCAGTGTAAGCAGCTAAATTTCACCTAGTATGAATCACTTGCAGTGCCTCTATAGCAGAGCTAGAGTGTGAGAGGAAGAAGCAGTACAAGGAGTCAATCAGTCCAAGTGCTAACAAGTAGCACGCTGATAGGAGGAGAAAGCAGAGTGACTGAGAGATGAGCACTCACTGTGATGCTAATCCTTTTTACTTTCCAGGACATATAGTGGCATAAAAAAGTAATACGGGGAAATCTCTGGACTGATGGTGAATATTGCAGCAAAAGCCAGTTTTGTTTCCCTTTTAGCCCTTTTACTGGCAACAACGTAACTACTATGTCATTGGCAGTAGCAGCATGTAAACAAACTCATGGTCTTAATAGCAGCTGTGAGTTTGTTAACTTTTCAAGAGTAGGCTTTCTAGCTATGTACAGCCACCCGATAATTTATACGTTGTATTTTTAAATGTCTCCCCCCCCGCCATCTGGGCCCCTCCCCTTCTTGGTTGCCAAGCTCTCCTGCATCTTCTGGGAGCCCAGAACTGAAAACAAATCAGATAATGAGTGTGGAGAGATGGAATATTTGACGTCTGAACACTACCAGCTACAGAGCTATACATTCCAAGCCAGGAGAGCTAGTGATCGGGGATGCTGTGTCCTCGGTCAGAGTTGCCTGAGTATAGGGGAGGCCTCAGAGCTCTTAAAGATCACAGTTGTCTCCATTTCGAGTTACTCAAAGAGTGCACTCAATAAAGTGATAACAATAAAGTTAAGTGAAAAAATAAGGTGCAACATAAACATTTTATAACCAAATTTTTTTAAAAAGAAGCTTTTTTTAAAGCCCCCCTGCCCTCTTACTCATTTGCACATGTGGACATACATTATGACTGCACATGTTGGGTATCACCATGAATGCCAGAATCAGAGAAATAATTCTGCAGTCATCAGTTATGGTTAACTCTGAGCTGACATGTGAAGGTTTTTTAGGGCATTGCCTATGGAAAGTTTTGGTATCATAGTTTTTCGCTGTATTGCAGCAATTTTGAGTTTTAACATATTTAGTGTCTTTGTCTCATCTTTTATATCTTTATGTTTGTTACAATTTTTTTGGAATGATTGTTCACCCCGTCCACAGTCCTCCCCCCTCTCCCTCCCCCTGCTCACCAGTTGATCTGCTCAGTAGCCCAGCATTCTCAGGATTCCCAACCTGCATCAATTAGCTGTCACAGCCACAGCAATATTAACACAGGCTTCAGACCCATAACAACATCTGTGAACCACCTCAGCTGAACCACCATCATTTTAACCAACTTTGATCCATATCGTCGCTGATGTCGCAGCATTCCTTACCTAATGGTAAGTTCATGTATTTTTACAGTTTAGTTGCAGTCATTAAACTCACCCACTCATCCATTTATTCCTGAAAACACGCTGACACTCCGGATATCCGATCAGAAGTGCCGGCACCTCACCACACAGCACCACCTCCCTGAAATCCTCGGTCCCAAGACGAAACGGATTCACCCAGATCTGAGTATAACTTTCATATTTCCCAACATCCCATCACCATTCCACGTCAGGTTGTTGGCCCTTCTCCACCCCTCCTCCTTTGGTTACCTTGAGAACTACAACCGCATTTCCTGTATTCCTTTGTCCACATTTCATTCTGCCTTCCTAGTTTATCCCATTATATATATGTAGCGCCCTCTAAAATGTCGCTATTCAATTTAGAGATACCTGGACTGTAACCAGTCTAGATACTGATTATACAGAGCTCTGCATTCTATAGGTGTCCCTGAGTCTGCTGGATTGATTGCTCCTCCTGTTGCTGAGGAAAAGGGAGCCTTGGCATACAGTGAGGGAGGATCCACCCTCAGGTTATGACTATGCACCTGACCCTAGCCAATCCCTGAGTAGGATGACTCAGAGGCATGCTG